CAGACAACCTCTCGTCAATATGCGTTTTTCGCATTGCATTGCTGCAAAAAACGCATAAAAATGATATAATAATTGTGACGGAATGAAAATAGCCTTTTTCTCGTCTTACAGCTTCAGCGGCGAAAAATGTGGGCATATCATTCTATTCGAAAAACAGAATTGACGTGGGATGATAATTACAATTTTCCTGACAGTACCTTCTTATCAAAATAGTAGGAACTGGTATCTGAATTTGTTTTTCTTACGAAAGAGCTAAAAATAATTATGAGAAAGTTAAAAGCTGTGGCCATAAGCTTGCTTTTTGACTTGAATAACAACTAAGATAATCGGGGCAGTGTCTCTGATTACGTTTTTCAGTAACTAATTATGGTGAAAAATTTCACATAATTTACCGGACGGCATTTTTCTCCGGGACCGGCTCGTTTTTGTCCTGATGGACAACCACAAAGTCTTCCTGCGATGCATACTTCTCCAAGGTTCTCCTGACAAAACATTGCACCGCACGGAAAGCCTTTCGGCTCCTCCTTCCTAAATTAGCATTTTTTGGGTTTAAATCTACTTGAGTTGCGGTTAACGTGCCCAGTTGATTTTGTTTCCATTTCACCTCTCAAAACACCAATGTTCGCCTCGAGATATCTCGGGAAAAGGCATATCAGTGTGAACACACAGGCTGGTGGTATAGCTATCTCTGTGTCCACGCTCTTAACACCTTAGCTTTTGTTTTTCCTCGACAAACTGCTTGCCTGCATGGATCCAGTTGCGCAAAATCACTGGCTACAACCAACTGTCCATTACCAAGCCGATAATTAGCATTTTGTACAGCGTTGATAAGTTCCTGCCAGAACTGGCACTGATCCGCTGGCGATTTGAATCCTACTGTCCCGTTGATGAGTAATCCATTATCCCATGTACTAAATGAAAACGGAAACAACATTCTTAAGCAAAATATTATGGTCAGAGATAATGCATTTACACACTCATATGTAATGATGGACTTGCCGGGCAGTAGTCTGTGTTTCATCCTTTAGCCGTAAGCACTGACAGGGCAGACGGAAACGTTTAGAGCAGCTTGCATTTCATCCCTTAGTTGTAAACACAGACAAAGCAGAATCTTCTAGCATTTGCTCGCCTTACCGATAACTGTGAATGTACCTCCATTAATGGGCGGTATTCGTGAAAAAGTAAGCGACTACTCGCGCAACCTCCGAAGAGGTGATGTGAAAATATCGAAAAGGTGAACTGGAAGTATGCAGCTGAGGAAAAGTGCTACGGTGATTTGTTTCCAGTAGCTGACTGTTATTAATAAAAATCCGCTAGCACTATCGGACAACTAATGAAAATACCCGAAAATAATCAGTTATGCGTACAGGCACGCCATATCCTTCGATCTTTAATTGCATCTTTCCAAACTCGTCGTGAATGGAACCCTCTTTTGCAAATGAGTACAGACCAGAAGGGAATCGAACCGCCCATCATCACATGTGGACAGTTCCTCCTAAACCGTCACCAGCAGGGTAAATGGTCCAACACCATCTGCTCTTGTCCCAAGAACAGTCTGAGAGCACTTTCCGCTGTGTATCTACCTGTCGCGAAAGCGAGGAAGCAATGCTGATCGATTTGGGCAGTACATTCGCCGCCCAATGAGATGGGCGGGAATGGACTTTAGGGATATCAACAAGGGGTTCATCGCCGGAACCTTTACCATTCGGAAGAAACGGTCCGAGGAGCAGCGGCGCATTGCAACAGCAGCGGATTCGAAGGAGACGGTTCGAGGAGGCGGCTGATCTCAACAGCGACCGATTCGGAAGAAACGGTTCGAAGAAACGGACATCGCAGCAGCGGCGGATTTGGAAGAGGAAGCTCGAGGAGGATCGGGACAGCGGTGGGCTTTGCGACGGCAGCGGTACTTTGCAACAGCAGTGGTACTTCGCGACAGCGGCGGCTTGGAAGACTACTGGTGATTATTTTGAAGTGTCCGACTCAGAGATAAATCTATTAGTACACTACCTTCCTACAGAGAGTATACAATTTTTTGTGGTGGCTTCAAGTTTTGCCGGCTTTTCGCAGGTTTTTCTCGACAGCTACTCAACGTCTACTTGATGCAAGTGTAATATCTCATCCGAAGCCGACAAGTAACCACATATTGGAAATGTGACGCAATATTTTTTTGATTCAGCAACAGATTCACGAATATTGCATTTTCGTCATAGTAATCGTCCGATAATTTCTTGGCAAATGTACGAAAAAGCGCTCGGCTCAGTTATCGTGTAAATTAATTTTCTAAATGAATCAAAATAAATGCAAACTGACCTATTTTTGACTTTTGGATTGGTGATGTAGTTCACATCCGTGGTGACATAATGAGGTCCAAATGGTGTGTTTTTGATTGTTGCTCCCAGATCTTTGATAAATTTATCAACAATCTCCACGTAGTGCTGTGACTGCGGCCTGCTGTAATCGGTACTGTACACAAGGCGATTGCTTCCATCGCTTACAAGCCGAATTTCAATTGGTACCTGCAACAGTAAGACAGTGAAAATTGGTACCTGCAAAAGTAAGGCAGTGAAAATTGCATCACCAGGAGATAAATCCCAACTTTTCACTGACAGCAGATTGCTTAGTATGGTTTTGATCTGAAACGAAGTCCCGTAGACGTAATGTAGTTGGATGACTGTCGTCGCCCAAAACAAAGTACTATGGGATGGAAGGATTTTGATGGTGGCGGCCTGAAAAGGTACCAAACTGGACTGATACCAAAAAATTGCGACTTAAAAATGAGTACCATAAGTCACTTCTTCCCAGGACATGAAGCAAAGGGGTGCAGATATGAGTACTTTAATGGCCACAGTCTGAAATAAACTACCGTAAAAGTTATTTTAATGGCTATGACCCCAAAATAAAGTATTATGAAAAGGACGTACTTTCTCAACAGGTATGCACTTATCGGTCGGCGAACTGCGTCCCTGTTCAGGACGACAACCACAATAGGCACCACCAATGCATACTTCGCCACGATCCAGACGGCAGAATTCCGCGCCGCAGGGCAGCAAATTTGGCGAAAGGGTTGTCGGCTCTGCTTGCGACGTTTGACCCGTTGTTAGCGCTACAAATACCCAGGGGAAGTTCTCGGATCAATTACAAGTGCGACTTTTGCACCACTGCATTAATTTGGATTTCTGCGAAGAGGACAAAAACTTATTCTCCGCAAAATGAGTCAGGACTCAATAAAAACAAATGTAAATGGGTTAGTGATAAAAACTCAGTTCCTCCCCCTTCCCCGGATTGGCTTTTTAAAAGAGGTGGAGACAACTGGGAAGAAATCAAAATACAAATATCAACTGCCGACTGATGTCTTTAACGACTTCTTATTTCGAGAGTTTCGCACATGCAAGCTGATGGCAAATTGGACTATCTAATACATGCAATTACCAATTTATCATCGAAACGAATAAAAGAATCGTAGAGGGATTGGTTGTCCGAGCGACGGAATTGAAACCACAGCTTGCAATAAGAACACTGCTACTTTTAACAGCACCACGCCCGTCGGCATATAAATGGGGAACAGATCCATGAATGACGAAGAAATCAAAGCAAAGATACGTAGGAAACGAAAAAAAGGAAAATAAAGTAAAGGATACTGAGAAAAAGCAAATCAAGCCAGAAGGGATGAGAGACGCACCGATACATGTTCTTCCTGGTTTTCTTGGATCTTGGCCACTGTCGTAGAAGCCAGGCTTGCAGTGGCATGTATAGCCGTCATCTGTGTCTGTACAAATCGCATTCTTGTCACAATCATTTGCGCTGGCATTTTTGCATTCATTGTAGCTAAAATTTCTAGTATATAAACGTTGTAAACTTCCATGGAATAAATTTTTTGCTCACTTACTACCTTTACTGCTGTCGTGCAGTGGCTCGAGATTTCGCTCCGCCGTTGGGACAATCAATCCCTCTACGATTCGTATATTCGTTAAGCCGGTGAAGTGGTACAATCATATTGCCAGGGAGTCAAACCCGCCATCAGCTTGCTCGCAAGAAACCTTTGAAAGGGGAAGCCATCACAGCCTTGCTAACAGATTGTTGGTGTTGACACATGCTATCATTCAGGCTGGAATACGAAGGGGGGTTTTAATTTTAACTTTTATCAGTGGGGTAAAAGCCAACAACAATCAGTCATTGGAAAAACTTTTGAAGGTTCCTCTTGTTCAGGGCTATATCAGGAAAAAAATAGATTTTATTATGTCAACACATACTTGTCACAAATCACAAAAAAATCAGTGTGCTTAGCAAATGCTTAAATATACTGGGACTGTCCAATAAATCGGTATTGGTGTCTCATGTTAATGATGTTATCAAGATTATCTTGTAAGTCGGGAACAGCTTATATCGGCCTTTCGATCATAGCTCTAGTTGTGGCTTGCCGCTTGCTCAGTGCATGTACGTCACCTCTTCAGCAATAATCATTTGCTATTTTATCGACTGTTCCACTTACCGACAAATGGTACCGGGCTTTGAAGGACTCTGATCGACGTACGGCGGTATGCATTCACATCGATAGCCTTCTTTCGTGTCGATACATTTCGCATGTCTATCGCAATTATTCAGATTCGGCGATTCGCATTCGTTGATGACTAAAATACATGGAACAGTACAAGCACATACAACACGCAAACTCACACTTATGTGGAATAAACACATCCAAAACAACTTGGCTTCTAATCCTGAATTTCTGACAAAAAAAAAAAATTCTTGTATTCCTCTTTCAAAATACTTGGATCCTAGAAAGTCAGTAAACACTAAACGAAGACTGATAATATCTGAAGGTTTGCTCAATCATTTACAAGATACACGATTAATATGACTTCTAAGGCCAAACATTTGCTACCTTCGACTACAAAAAATTTCCTAAAAATTTTTTCCGAAAAAATTTATTTCAGTTCATTTTTGTTTTCAATTTACTTTACTTTATTTTCGCAATTTCAATCTCAAACAGACGGTGGTTTTTTGAATTCAACGTTCCGAAATTATGCGAAATTTACTGCCAATGTAAAGATGAGCTCTGAATCAAGGAGCACGAATCCACTACAAAGTTTGGGAGTCTCATGTTATTGATGCTGATGTATTTTCTTACGAAATTCTTAAAATTTTTTTACTCCCCGTAAAGTACTTTCTTAGACGGCGCGATATTGTCTGGGAAACATCTGACACTTACTGAATGTGCAGTCAGTTCCCGGTTTTGCTGGATTGTTGTCATGATAACCTGCCTTGCAGCGGCATTCATAGCCGTCTTCCCTGTCGATGCACTCAGCAAAACGACTACAGTTATTCAGATGCGCGTTACCGCATTCGTTCACCAACTGCAAACCATCCCGGTACTACACTTTTTGCATCGAAACGATGCTCGACGCTCCAAATTCTGCGATCTAACAGTGCTTATTTCTGTGTTTACGCCTTGTATTAAGATTCAAGCAAGTTCAAGGAAAATCACTGTAGGCGTCGAAAAATTTTAAAGATATAAACAGTGAATATTCCTGGCTAGAAGACTGGAAGAGGACGGGGCCCGAAATCGCCTATGCGCAAACTGGACCCATAGCGACAATCCCGAACAGCTAGGAGTACTTTCTGGAAAACAGTGAGGTTCAAATCGGGTAATGCTAAAACATCCCTTTCGCATAGTTTTGTTTTTACTCGCTTAACTCATTGAGCACTAACTTCTTCTTATGCGTTTTTTGCAGCAATGCAGTGCGCAAAACGCATATTGACGAGAGGTTGTCTGTGTGTGTGTGTGTGTGTGTGTCTGTGTATCTGTGTGTCCGTGTGTGCGTCTGTCACGGTTTTTCATCTCAAGACCTACAAAAGCTACGGGGCTG